TTGATTCCCTCTAACTTATTCACTGAAGCTAAACTAACTCAACCCTAGTCTTCTGTGCATACTAGCGGTGGGTATTTATGTACCTAAATACCGATAGTCTTGAACCAGACTGACCGTCTTAGAACCAGAACCACGGCGGCACTCCCAAGCGCAATGCTTCACCCGCTTGACGCACGAACCAAAATACTACAAAAAGTCCCAAAACAAACAAACAGTACAATCACCTTATGCGAAAGTACCGCTGAGCCTAGCAGGGAATACAATTGGTCCTTAACAGACAATCCACAAAGTTCAATGTTTTATACCTTGTGATAAAGACGACTGCTTGACAAAATGAGCATAGTAATCAGCCAATTTGTGAATGAATGGGCTTACGTGAGTCCTAAAGGCTGGCTCGTCTATCGCTTACAACATGGAAAGCGATTGCAAACATCCAGTGTAGTCCCGACAATACGTTTGAATCAGCGCAACAACAACTTTCTGTTGACACAATATTGCGGCGTATACCAGTAAAACAAACAGACCAGACCCACCAAAACAACTAAAACGCCACAGCAGGCTGAAACATGAGGATTTACACTGAAGACGCGTCACGCTGAACCATCGTACATATTGAGTCTCTTTATTACGCTATTTCACATACATAGAAAACCAATCACTTACTTTGAGTGATGCATGTTGTAAGTAGTGCAAAAGGTACCTCAGAGACATCAGTGAAAGATGTTGACGACGATGGTAACGGTCAACAGAAAGTTCTTCCCCATGCTCACCCTGCAGCCATGATCAACCCAAGCTTCCTCACAGGTGAACACACACACATTAATACAGACACCACGCCCCCGGTCACACCCACAGTAACTGATGACGTGACGATGCGCGTGCATGTACACTACAGTGCAAAGAAAAGAGAGGAAACCCAATAAAAACTCAAACAAACCCAGTGTATGGCTCCTAGAGCCCCTCCTCATTTGCATAATGAGGCAGAAATGCATACAGAAATTTAAAAAGGACAGGCAGAAATAAATACCATGGGTGAAAACAAATAAGGTAGAAAAATACAAAGGAAGAATAAAACAGACAAAAATATTAAAACACACACAAATAAATATATTTAAAAAATGAGTAATAAATAAAGTTTTAGATTATAACGGAGAATAAATAAATAAGGTAATTATAACAAAGGTGAATAAGTAAAGGCACTAATTAAAATATATACATTTATGTCTCCTTGTATAATTTAATTACTACCAACATTTATTTATTTACTTTATTTTTTTGTGTATTTAATTGGAAGCTTATTTGTTTATTGAGCATTTATTTATTTCTGTATTTATTTCTGACTGTCAGGATCAGTCCTCCATGGTGGGGTGGGAGAGTTATCAAGCACGTAAAGTTTGGTTCAGATGTGAGCATGTACACTGAAGTTACAACAACTTCCTGTGTCATGGCGAAGACTTGATCTCTGACGCCACGCCACGGACACACCCATTGACGAAAACTCGCAAATAGCACAACTTTTCATCTTCAAAGCCTTTAGAAGGCACAGCACAAATTTGAAGTCGGTCGGACTAAATCCCTAGGAGGAGTTTGTTAAAGTACGAAGTGTGTAAATCATCCAAAATTTGACGTAAAATTCAAAATGGCCGACTTCCTGTTGGTTTTAGGGCATCGCTCCAAGAGGCTTTTTTGTGCATCTGGACAAGATGCACGTACCACAGAAAATTCGTACACGTAGGTGAAACGTGCGGCGGGGGCTGCTTCGTTAAAAGTCACTTTCTGTTGCCAGCAGGTGGCGCTATGACTGTGGGTGAATGTCGGCATGTACATGTGTTCAGGGCGGGACTCTCATCCTACATGTACACTTTGGTGCAGATGTAAGCATATACACTGAAGTTACGACAACTTCCTGTGTCATGGCGAAGAGTTGATCTTTGACGCCACGGACACGCCCATTGACGAAAACTCGCAAATAGCACAACTTTTCATCGTCAATGCCTTTAGAAGGCACAGCAGAAATTTGACGTCGGTCGGTATAAATCCCTATGAGGAGTTCGTTAAAGTACGAAGTGTGTAAATCATCCAAAAATGGCCGTAAAATTCAAAATGGCCGACTTCCTGTTGACTTTAGGCTATGGGTTCTTGAGGCTTTTTTGTGCGTCTTGATACGATACATGTCCCCAAAAAATTCCGTACATGTAGGTTGAACGTGAACGAGGGGCTAATCTTTTCCAATTTTCTAGGTGGCGCTAGCGAGTCATTTTGCCACGCCCATGTGCGAAACTTGTAGAATACGAAATTTTTCACCGGTTCTGACATGTTTGCAAATTTTGGTGAGTTTGAGTATGTTTAGGCCATGTCAGTTGAGCCTACTTTGCAGAAAAAAAAAAATGAAAAAAAAAACTAATCCGAGAAAATTCAATAGGGACCTCGCACGGTCGTGCTCGGGCCCTAAAAATGGGTTCTAAGACCGACACCTGAGGCACACCATATTTAACTGGACAGAATGAAGAGACATAGTTGTCTACAGACACACAAAACTTCCTATTTGACAGGTAGGATGAAAACCATTCTAGGGCAGTACCAGAGATCCCCACCCAGTGCCTCAGTCCGTCTAACATGATGTTGTGATCAATGGTGTCAAAAGCAGCGCTAAGGTCCAGGAGTACCAGGACTGAGCACATGCCTTCATCAGCAGACATTAAAAGGTCATTGGTGACTTTAAGCAGGGCAGTCTCAGTGCTGTGGTACTTCCTAAAACCAGACTGAAACCTTTCAAATAATTTGTTATTTTCCAGTACAGTGAGCAGCTGTTTGGACACAATTCTTTCTAGAATCTTTGCAATAAAAGGCAGTTTTGAAATTGGTCTAAAATTATGTGGGAGGGAGGGATCTAAACCAAGTTTCTTTAAAAGTGTGTTCACGCAAGCCGTTTTAAAATAATCAGGGACACAACCAGTAGATAGGGAGCTGTTGAAAACAGAGATCAAATGGGGCCCAACAGAATCTATTACTTTTAGTAAAAACTTTGTAGGTATTACATCAAGTGGGCTGGAGGACACTCATTTGTGATACTGTTTTTAAAAGCTCAGACAGGTCGATGGGATAAAACTGGTTAAAAATCTCTTGTTGCTGGTGAGGAACCTCTGAGTAAGAGGCCACAGGGGTAATAGAGGCTCTGATTGACACCACCTTACTGGTAAAATAAGAAAAACAAAAACAAAAACTGGGTTTACCAGCTGATCCACAGTCTTAAACAGAAACCTTGGATTATGTGTTTATGTGTAGTAATGAGTTCAGAAAAAATAGTGTGTTCTCGCATCCTTAACCAAGTTATTGTAGTTAATTAATAAATCCTTCAGACTGAGGTAATGGACTTGGAGACTGGATTTTTTCCATCTGCGCTCTGCTTTCCTGCATTCCCTTTTGAGGCTGCGAATGCTGTCATTTATCCAGGGTTGCTTACTAGCTTTAGACGTAGGCCTAACCTTTAGAGGAGCAGTAATATTTAGTGACGACAAGCAGATATGATTGAAGTGATCGACCAGATTGTTGGTGTTGGAATCAGACAGGTGTTGGCTTTGGCTCTGAAAGAATGCGCAAAACTTTGAAACACTTTGTTCATTAAAGATGCGACAACACACGGAGCTTGGTGAGGCGGCATGAGTAACAGGCGAATCGCAGCTAAAAACAATACATCTGTGGTCAGATATGGTCATGTCCACTAATTCCACAGAGGAAATGCTGACACCCAGGGTAAAAACCAAGTCCAGTGTATGACCACGGTTATGTGTTTGCCCTTTGACATGTTGTTTGAAGTTAAAAGAAGTGGCCATATTTAAAAAGTTAGTTGCATTAACATTGTTGGGGTCATCAACATGAATATTAAAATCGCCACAAAGAACAATTTATACAACCTATACACGCTCACTAGCCCACCACCACGACCACTGACCCTCGGTTGACTAAAACAATCATATTGAGGCGGACACAGTTCAGCTAGCTGGCTATAGTCATTCATTTGCAAACAGGATCCAGTTAACATAAAATCTAGATTTGCAAACAAGATAAAATCATTTAAGATAAAAGTCTTACTTGAAAGTGATCTCACATTGACGAGAGCCATTTTAAATGAGTTTGTTCTGGGTGCTGGAGTTGGTGCAGTTGTCCTAATCCTTAAGAGATTACTAATATTTCTGTGTGGGATGTGCACATTTCGGTTTACTGGTCTATGCGTGATGATGACAGGAATAGAAGTCTGTGGAACAGCGCTGGGAGCAAACGGCTTTACATGCCAGCAGGTGGAGACAGTTGTTTGTGGCAGTGAGGCAGAGATCTGTTCAGTGAGCGGTGGTGTGTCCAGGTGTGCTGCATGAATGATTAGTCATTCACGTAAGTCATGTGTGGACCAAACCACATGCTGTATGTGAGCAGCTAACATTTCTGAGCCTTGTTTGTTTGGGTGAAGTCTTAAAAAGAGGCATTCTTTGCCAGAAAACAACCTTAGTAGTGACATTCTGACTCCACAATAAACACCAACTAGTCATCCAGTCCAGTTACAATATATTTTTTATTATATTTTATTAACTATGTACCATTAACACTACTATAAATATTTGTACCATTTTTTCCATTTAGTCTATAGCAACATCACCTTTACTGTCTGTACCTCTGTGTGTATATTGTGTAGGCTGCCTCCCTCTCCCTCCTTCACCCCAACCGGTCGAGGCAGATGGCCGCCCACCCTGAGCCATGGTTCTGCTTGAGGTTTCTGCCTCTTAAAAGGAAGTTTTTCCTTGCCTCTGTCGCCTAGTGCTGCTCTCAGTGGGAACTGTTGGGCTTCTGTAAATATCATCACAGAGTTCGGTCTAGACCTGCTCTTTTATGAAAAGCGCTGTGAGATAACTGTTGTTGTGATTTGGCGCTATATAAATAAAATTGAATTGAAATTGTTTTTAGAATACTGTATTTAGTGGAGAACTTGGTAGTAGTTTGCAGCAGTATTTTATTTATTGTTCTTTTATATTTCATATAATTTATTTATTATGTGTAATTCGGAAGTTTGCTTAAAACATTGTAAACTGATTTTAATGTTTACAAAACTTAATAATAAACCAGCAGGAATTTAATGTTTGAATTTTCCCCCCTTACTGTACTGAAAATAAACCAAACCATGACTTAAAAGCTGAGGTACGTACCGAACCGTGATTTTTGTGTACCATTTTTAGATAGATATATAGATGTGTATGCAAGAGACGTCCTCTATCCCAGAAGAAACCTAAATTACGATGTAGCCTAGAGGACGCAAGTTATTTAGGATAATATGACCGCGTTGTGAACCTCAATACAACTCTATGAGGAAAGCTCGTAACGGCAAAGATGGCGGTTATCCCGCCCCTCCTGCTAGACTTTAATCATATTTAAACAACTACAGCTTTGTGTTGTTGGTCAGAAAATAAGATTATGCTCCCAGACACCCAGAGAGGGACCGAGGCCCACCCACCACAGTCTCTTGAAATCTTGGGGGAAACACTGGGATCTGGTCTAACGTTACACACGTGGAACAGTGTAAAGCAGTGAAATCTCATAAAGGTTTAACATGATATGAAAGTGAGTTTCAGACAGAGTTAAAGCTTTACATAAAACAGCTTTGGCAACAATGTAATTTAACTTTCCCTTAACTGCGGAACCGGAAGTTAACATTAGCTTTGTCCCGCTAGCTAGCATGCTAACACACAGGCAGCAGGCTACATGCTACAAGAGACCTCCTGCTCCTCCTCCTCCTCCTGCTCCTCCTCCTCCTCTCCGGTTCCGACCGTCACATTAAGTGTGGGTTCTGTAGAGATACGGGGTTCTGATGGCTCCACTGTTGAATCCTGCTACATTACATCTTGTTTACAGTCAATATGAAGCTACGTGTCGGAACCAGGCCGAGCTAACGCCACGTTAGCTTCTTGTTAGCTGCTAGCTGTGTTCATGAACACTGACCTGAACATCGGTGCTATCAGAGCTCGAGCCTGCTGTTTGTCCTCCGGGGACGTTGTTGCTCCGGGGCTCCGGGTCCTGGTTGTCCTCCTCCATCCCGCTCTCGGTCCTGGTCTCTGAGATCCAGCAGGTAGTGGTGTGTCCGTCCGTATCGAGGCTTCGAAGCGCGTGTCGAGGCCCCTGTTGATGACGTATGTGGTGACGTTCGTGACCTATTCAGGAGATGGTTTGCGGGTTTTGCGTGCGATTCGAAAGGAGCAGCAAAATGCAGCGGACCGTCCTCAACATTTTGTGGACTTTTGAACTTGAAATTGAACACAATTAGATTTTATCTACAGCTGATTTTAAATGACTAAAAAAGTTTATCAACTTATGTCAGAATTGCTTTGATCACACAGAGGAAAAGAAAGTGTTGACATTTTTTTTTACATTTTGTAGCTTTGGTAAGAATTAAACTCTTACCCTATATTACCCTAATAATAATTTTCTAAAGCTGGAAAAATCATCTCCAAAAAAGAAACCGGCACTGTGGAAGTGTTATTTTTAAATAAAGATGAATAAAATGTTGTCTAAAGTCACAAACCAAGTTATCATAACCCTCTCCCTTGTTTCCACTTTCCTTTTGACCCTGTCATTGTATCATAAAGACAGACACCTTATTAAAAGCTAGTCAGTCATGTATCAGCATCATAAACATCATTCATTAATTTATTCAATTCAAAGCTTCACACACCAAAGCCATGTTGCCGTTATAATCACTCTGCCTGTTTTACATTTATTGCCCACTTGATGGCGCAGTAGAACAAATGAAGCACCGTGAAAGTGCCATGAGTGAACCAATTGGATGGAAAGCTTCAATTCTTCATCTCGCCATCACTACCAGTAGGTCTCCTGTGGGACTGACGGAGCTCTTCAGGCGCCTCCTTGAAGTGAACAATGGGAGCTCCCCTCTGAGAGGCGACCCTCTGTGTAAATGTGGTTTTACTCTGCATGCTTACCATAGACTCCACACATTGCTGTTCATACTGTACATACTTCTTTACATTTGCACTCTACATTCTCTAAATCTGTCCTCTTCTCTTCTTTTAATATTCAGTATATTCATAAATACTGTAAAATATCTGTGCAACTCCACTGTACATGTTGTAAGATCTAGCATAACTGCACTCATTCTGTTTGGTCCCTGCGTTTCATTAGCTCAGAGCCCACTGTTACTGTCTCCCCCTGCAGGTCATGATGTAGATTTTTCAGTTTTATGGTGACTCGTGTTTGTCTGTTTCTCCTCAGGTATTTCAAGTCTGGCTGATGAGGGGAGAAACCAAGAGGGTGCTGGGTGCTTGGCTCTCTCTCTTATCCACCTTCCAGTCATAGCAACAACAGCAGACTGACGGGAACTGCTGCAGATTTGTATTCTTTTGACTGTTGTTTTTATTCTATTCTGATGGGACTGGTAGTTTAGTTTCACAGCTTTATTTATGTTTTTTTAGTTATTGGTTTATGGTAGCGGGAAAGCCTCCAGATCCTACGGCCCTTTGTGGACTGGTCTGCAGGGCTTCTCTTTCTTTTGTTTGTTTTGCCCATCAAACTTATTATTATGTTTGAGTTATTTTGGACTTTTTTCATGTTTATTAAATAAACTTATGTTTCTTTGCACAACTCCTGGACTCTTTAACTTATGTACGACCACCATTTGTCATGAGCTTTGGTGGGCGTCGTAACATAAATTGGGGACTTGTCCAAACGAACTGTAAACATGGTAACGTTTTCAATGGGGTTTTTGAGATCTAGATTAGGGTGGTTTGGTGGCAGTAAACCTTTTTTAATCTAGATCTGTTGATTTGTTTGTAGCCTTTAGTACTGTGTATTGCCCTTTAGAGTGTCAGGTAATTTTGTGGACATAGCTGGCGTTTTGGTGATAGGCTCAGATTTGTGGTTCTCAAAGACAGAGATTAAATTGATGGAGTTTATTGATTGTCCTACTCTCAAGGTGTTTAATCGGTGTACTAGGGGAATGCTGCTGTTGATTGCTGACCACTATGAGGTAGCTGTTTCTAAGCAAATTAAGAAGCAGGCTATTAAGGCGGAGTTATGTGCTGCCTTGGTGAAAAAAGGCATTTTGCCACAGCTGCAGAGAACTCCAGAAACTCACAAGCATTCACGTCAAACTACTGGTGAAGCAGTAAGACTTAAATAATTGGAAGTTGTATTGCAGTGTCTGACGTTAAAAGAAAAAGAACTTAAGTATTTGAACGGTCTTGAAACAAGGAAGAATGATCTCCGAATGCGTTAATTGGAGCTTGGAGTTCTCAAGTTTCATAAAGATCTTCAAGTTTTGATGTAAGCAGAAACATTCGCTTAGTTCCTCCTTTTAATGAGAAGGATGTTGACAAATATTTCATCTTATTTGAGCGGGTGGCTTTTACACTAAAGTGGCTGAAAGAAATGTGGACGTTGTTGCAATGCGAAATGACAGTAAACTTGATTCTAATCTAAACAGAAGTGGTCTTAAATGAAGAGCCATTTGGGAGCTGGCTCTCGGAAAGGAACCAAAGATCTGGCTCTCGACTGAGATACATATGCTGTTTTCCCATTACCATTACGCCAGTGACCTACACACAGCTGTCTCTTGATTTAAGTTGAAACGTTTCAACCTTCCTCAGAATGTAAAGACAGATAAGCGGTATGAAAACCTTCCAGCTGTGTTTTCCTCTGCCGTTGTTGCTGCAGCGGTCTGTGTGACGGCAGGAGCAGAGGGCTCTGTGAGCGGCCGGCTGGCCGGCCTCGCAAGCTTCTCCTGCGGGTTGGCGCAGGCATCCCCCGCTGCCATTGCGGAGCTCCTCAACCCCGAAAACTTTCAAGCACCATTTTGTTCCGTCGTCACTTTTTGTAAAACTGTGAATATTCGAAAAAGTAATGAAATAACATATGAAAATTGTAAAATATAAAACTTTCTGTTGCTGGCCTCTGTCTGGGGCAATAATAATGCAGTGAATAGTGATGATTCTCTCTGACCAGTAGTTGGCTGTGTTTTCACGTCACATTTTAGTGTCGCCTCAGCTCGCTTGCAACCTCGAGGGAGGTGATACGAATAAAAGTACCTGGTAGCAGGTACAGGTACAACTTTTACACAATGGAAAACCAAATCGAGTCCAGGCGAGTCGAGGCGAGCTGGTACCATGCAGTGGAAAAGGGGCTATACATAACCCCCTGATGTGTCTCTGAGGTCCAGAGCCTGTTCTGGTCCTTCAGTCGTAAACTGCTGCTTCATCTGTCCCTGGCACAGACACAGGTCTGGGTTCAGTATTGGAGCAGAAGCATCAGCTGTCTGAAACTGACCCTGAGTGATTTCTACACCTGTGACAGGTGAGGAGTGTAAATGAGGCAGCAGCGAGCGAGGACGTCCCATGTGAAGAATAAAAGTCCTCCGTCCTCACTTATCTCCTCCCACTCAGAGAAAGAAACGGGAGCGGAGAAAGCCATGAGCCAAACAGCGTCCACCTGTCCTCTCTGGTCTGGAGACGAGCCTCACCTGAAACTCCACCTGACAACATGTGATGACCCAGATCTCAGAAGCTAAAAGCATTCACATTTCCCCCTCTGAACCTTCAGATCAGTGGTTTCTCTTAACAGAGGTTTCTTAGCTCTGTAATATTTAATATATTTAATGTTTTAAGCTACATAATAAAGTAACTATACTGTATAGTGCAGTTTTAGCCACTTTTGTTTAAACCATTCTATTGGCCACTGTCTATGTATGCTATTATTGATTGCTCTATTGAGCCAAGTATTCCCATAGCTCTCAGTAGTTACGACTTCATGAGCTTCTTTAATGATAAAATTCTAGCTATTAGAGACAAAATTCACCAAGACCTGCCCTCAACTGGCACCAACTTATCTCTTAACTCAGGAACCTTAGAAGCAGCTGTAGAACCAGATATATGTTTAGACTGTTTTGCTTCTCTCAATCTTTACAAACTAACTTCAATAATTTCTTTATTTAAACCATCAACATGCCTCTTAGACCCCATCCCGACTAGGTTGCTTAAAGATGTTTTACCCTTAGTCAGCTCTTCTATACTAGATATGATTAATCTATCTCTATCAACAGGCTATGTACCACAGTACTTTAAAGTAGCTGTAATTAAACCTCTACTGAAAAAGCCCAAACTTGATCTGGATGTTTTAGCCAACTATAGACCTATATCTAACCTTCCATTTCTCTCTAAGGTCCTGGAGAAAGCAGTTGCTAAACAGCTGTGTGACTTTCTACAGTGCAATAGTTTATTTGAGGATTTTCAGTCAGGATTTAGAGCTCATCATAGCACAGAGACAGCACTGGTGAAAATTACTAATGTCCTCCTTATTGCATCAGACAAAGGACTCGTCTCTGTACTGGTTTTATTAGATCTTAGTGCTGCATTTGATACCATTGACCATCAGATCCTATTGCAGAGACTGGAACATTTCATTGGTATTAAAGGAACCGCTCTAAGCTGGTTTAAGTCCTATTTCTCAGATCGATTTCAGTTTGTACATGTTAACGATGAGTCCTCCATGCACACCAAAGTTAGTCATGGAGTTCCTCAAGGATCTGTCCTTAGACCAATCCTCTTTACTTTATATATGCTTCCTTTAGGGAATATTATCAGGAAATATTCCATAAGCTTTCATTGTTATGCAGATGATACTCAGTTATATCTATCGATCAAGCCAGATGAAACTCATCAGTTAGCTAAACTTCAGATGTGCCTTCAGGATGTTAAAACCTGGATGACCTGTAATTTTCTAATGTTAAACTCAGATAAAACTGAAGTTATTGTTCTGGGGCCTAAGCACCTCCGTGACGCATTATCTAAAGATATAATTTCCCTTGATGGCATCGCCCTGGCCTCCAGCACCACTGTGAGGAATCTTGGAGATATCTTTGATCAGGACATGTCGTTTATATGTCGTAATATTGCGAAAATCAGGAACATCCTGTCTAAAAATGATGCAGAAAAACTAGTCCATGCATTTGTTACTTCTAGGCTGGATTACTGCAATTCCTTATTATCAGGCTGCTCGAAAAAGTCCGTTAAGACTCTTCAGCTGATCCAGAATGCTGCAGCACGTTTTCTGACAGGAACCAGGAAAAGAGATCATATTTCTCCTGTTTTAGCTTCTTTGCATTGGCTTCCAGTAAAATCATTCTTCTTACCTACAAAGCTCTTAATGTTCAGGCACCATCTTATCTTAAAGAGCTCATAGTACCTTACTACCCCACCAGAGAACTGCACTCCCAGAATGCAGGGTTACTTGTGGTTCCTAGAGTCTCCAAAAGTAGACTAGGAGCCAGAGCGTTCAGCTATCAAGCTCCTCTCCTGTGGAACCAGGTTCCAGTTTGGGTTCAGGAGGCAGACACCATCTCCACATTTAAGAGTAGGCTTAAGACTTTCCTCTTTGATAAAGCTTATAGTTAGGGCTGGCTCAGGTGAGTCCTGAACCATCCCTTAGTTATGCTGCTATAGGCCTAGACTGCCAGGGGATTTCCTATGATGCACTGAGCTCCTCTCTCCTCTACTTTCTCTCCCTCTGTATGCAACCTCATCCCATTATTGCATGTTACTAACACAACTTCTCCCCTTTCCGGTAGTCTTGTGCTTTCTCGTTTCTCTCCTCCTATCACTTCCTGCAGGTTTTCTGGCTCTGGAGCTGTGGAGTCTGGATCTGTGGCTGCGGGTCACCTGCTGCCCCCGTGTTCCTGCTCGACACCCTCTGCTGCAACGACTATTGTTGCTAGTTCCTATTATTATTATTATTATTGTTATTATAATCATTAAAATTACAATTGTTATCATTAACACTACTATAAATATCTGTACCATTTTTCATTTAGTTTATAGCAACATCACCTTTACTGTCTGTACCTCTGTATGTGTATATTGTGTAGGCTGCCTCCCTCCCCTCTCTCTTTCCTTCCATCCCTCTCTTTTTCTCTCTGTTCCTCTAATGCCCACCCTGAGCTATGGTTCTGCTCGAGGTTTCTGCCGCTTAAAAGGAAGTTTTTCCTTGCCTCTGTTGCCTAGTGCTGCTCTTGGTGGGAACTGTTGGGCTTCTGTAAATAGCACCATAGAGTACGGTCTAGACCTGCTCTTTTATGAAAAGCGCTGTGAGATAACCGTTGTTGTGATTTGGCTCTATATAAATAAAATTGAATTGAATTGAATTGAATTATTAGAAACACTATACACACAGATGCATTGGCTGGAGATACTTAGGTAGTGAACACACAGTACAAGTATGAAGAAGTCTGAACAGAACACAGAGCAGAGGCAGTGATTTGCAGTACCTGAAAGTTTGCCAACAGTTGTATAACCTCTAAATGTCTTCACTTTCTTCTTTCTGAATTTCTATAATGGTGAATACTGAGACTGAATCATCCAAAAATATAAGTTGAATGAATTGTTAAATTTGTACTCAGAAAAGGCCACTAGCAGAGGATAGAAATTCATCTTCAGAACTTACTGAAAAGGGGGAAGCCAGCAAAGATGGATGTGGAGATCATGCAAAAACCCCGCCTAAGAAGATGGTGTATTTGAGCGGATTCTTTAGTTTGTCTTGAGCCTTTTTGGACTCAAAGTAGTCTATTTTGGCAATGATTTTTGTCCTCAAGTTGG